AGATAAGATGGGGCCTGATTATTTAAGACCTTGTATGTGAGGGGCAGGATTTTGAATTCTGGATTTAACAGGAAGCCAGTATAATCACAACTGACATGTGCTGGTGTGGTAATAATTACTCAGCTCTTGTGCACATGCTGCTATTCAGTGCTTCCCAGATCCTAATGTATTTGGCTACATTAGCTAATGGACAGTAACAATTATGTGCAAATGACTGTGTCTGAATGCTGAATGCTTAACAAAGCCATTCACTCCAGAAGCCTCTACTCTCGTTGCTTTGGTTGGCAGTGTGGAGACAGCTTGCAGAGACCAGTTGAGCAAATGACAACAAGACCCGATGTCTGGCACAAAAGTTCTAAATTATGATCTCATTTTTCACATCTACACCTTTTTGCAGCTCTGTAATTTTCTACTTTCCTGTACTTTTGCCACAGAGCGCAGGAGGTCCTGGCTGCTAGCTTTATGAGCTGTTAGAAACCTAGAGGCCATCTTGTAAACGACCAATTAAATAAGAGGAGATCATGAGGGACTGCATACCTGCCCTGAAGGAACAATAAAAGCTAAGGAGAGGGGAGGGATATGGAGCTATACATCAGGCTTTGCTGAGGATAATTGCAACTGGAGGATTTCGGGAGGGATGCGAAAGTCCAGATCCCAGTTCTATGTTTTTAATATACAAGGTCTCCTGTGAAGAATGGGATTGTCAGTGATATGTGTAGAGAGGACAGTGTGCATAAATGAGATGACAGCAAAGATGTTACTTTTGCTTTGCCTTATATTTATAACACGGGAATGGTAATGTTATATAATTTGGTGTCCAGCACAGGGCAAGGCAGTCAGTGGTTGTTCTGCACATATTGCTTGGTATGCATGTAGATACATGTGGCATACAGAGCAGGCAGCACAGACAAAAAGAAAAGCAGAGTAGTGTTGATTCAAAGGAACATGGAGCGATGGCCCCTGCACATCTGCACATAAGGAGCGCCCAGGAGACTGCAATTCATCGTCTTCTTCCTCTATGACACACACCCAGCTGTATGCAGTAACAGCAACCTTACTAAATCTAAGTGGAGTCGCAGGGTTGCCTTGTCCACACAATCCATTCAGTCCATTGATCAAAGGATGATGTGACGAGAGTGGAAGATGTGTGGGGGCTTGGTCACCCTCCTCATAAATACTGGGCACACTATGAAAGAGTCGACTGGACACCAGAAGAAGGGGGCATCCCTGTATTCATTACAAGATGATACTGCATTCACCAGGAGAAGCACAACGAACAATTCTTCCTTCAATAATCTTTTTGTTAACTTGGATCTTATTGTCATAGGTTTGGTCACCATTTTTAGTCATGACCAAAACACTAACCAAATGATCAGACAGACTAGTTACTAAATTAGTAGCACTTTGCTTTCATACACAATCATTTAACAAATATCTTATACCGTATTTTCACAACCATAAGACGCACTGTGCTAAAAGGCGCAGTCTCAGTTATGTGTGCCCTTACTGTATTTAACACACACATAAGGCGCACTGGACCATAGGGCGCATACAAGTATCGTATGCGTATTTAAAAATAAAGCGGGAGCAAACCTGAGTTCGGTACTCACATTTTTATCATCAAACCCATCGAAGTCCTCATCCTCTGTGTCTGAATTGAACAGCTGCGCTAAATCTCCATCAAACATGCCAGGTTCACTGTCTTCACCGTCAGAGTCACTTTCCGTGCCGTGCAGCTCCTCGGAAACGATGCCAGCTTTTGCGAAAGCTCGAACAACAGTGCCAGCAGACATGTTAGCCCAAGCATCTACAATCCATTGGCAAATTGTGGCGTAACTCGCCCGGCGCTGCCTTCCACTCTTGGTGAAACTGTGGTCTCCACCGGTCATCCATCGCTCCCAGGCCGCTCGCAGCCTTACTTTGAACGGGCGGTTCACACCAATGTCCAGCAGTTGGAGTTCCTTTGTCAGGCCTCCCGGAATGACAGCAAGCTCACAGTTCATTTGCTTCACAAGTTTTTTCACATCGGCTGTGAGATGGGCACGCATAGAGTCACAGATCAACAGCGATGGTGATGCGTGGAAAAAACCACCTGGTCTCCTTACATACACCTCCCTCAGCCACTCTTTCATCATTTCCTCATCCATCCAGCCCTTTTCATTTGCCTTAATGATGATTCCTGCTGGAAACTTCTCTTTAGGCAAAGTCTTTCGCTTAAAAATCACCATAGGCGGCAGTTTCTGTCCATTAGCATGGCAGCCAAGCACAACAGTGAAAGAAGACTTTTCATACCCCGTTGTGCGTATCGCTACCGTGCTGGTCCCCTTCTTCTCCACAGTGTGACTCACCGGGATGTCAAAAGTGAGCGGGACCTCGTCCATGTTTGTGATGTGGCTGGGCTGGATGTGTTTGTCGCCAATGTGTTTGCTGCAGTAGGGGCGGAAGATGGCCAGCTTTTCCTTATAATCCGCTGGAAGTTGCTGCGCTACCGTAGTCCTGGTCCGGATGGAAAAATGGCACCGTTTCATAAAAAGTGAAAGTGAAACTGCTTTTAGCCAAATGGTGACCGTCGAAACGCTTCTCCCGCTCGCTCTTTGCTCGATGATCCACCGCTCGAGTCTTTCCTCCAACTCGGCCACACTTCACCCTTTAGCGTTCTCATGGTGTTCTCTACTACGTCCTCATTACAACACACAGGGCGCACTGCGCTATAGGGCGCGCCGTACTTTTTGAAGAAAATCTAAGACTTTTAAGTGCGCCTTATGGTCGTGAAAATACGGTAGTCCCAAGCAGCCATTGCTAAATGTTAATGTGGATTAACGTGGGTTATAAACCACTATTAAATGTTTGTGAACTGCTCTAAAAGGTAAATAACGAGACATCAAACCTTAATGAAGACACATGTAATTAAAATGTTATGTTTTGCATTTTATGGAGTAGCTAAAATAACAGAAAATTAGTCAACAGTCATCAGCTGCAGGATCGGGTGTTGGCTCTTTGTTGCAGTTTTTTACCATTAAAGGTCCTTTTGAAGCTATGAGTGATGTGCTTAATGTAACACACTAGAACAGCAAACATGAAGTACAGGCTGACACTGCTGGTCTTCTGATGTTTGGCACAATGTTATCATGACCGATTCTGTAGGAAAATGGGTATACACCTATCTACACACACATACACACACGAGAATAAGATCCAAGTTGTTTTAAATCAGAATAACCATTTGTTATTACTTATGCATATAAAACCAACAATGACATCACTTGCATAAGAATTGAGATGCAACATATTGCATATTGTACATCACTGTCATGCATTGCATTTGGAATAGGGAAAAAAGTCCCATGTTCATACACTGGTTGCATTTCTCTTTATGGACTCCGGAGTCCGAGTAGTTTGGTTCTGAACTGACTGCACAGTGTAAACAGTCTCTCTTCCTGCTCTCTCTCCTTTTACTGTGTGCATGCTGTGTTCCAGAAACAGGCAAACACATTTTGGCAACATACAAGTTGATTTATTGCAATGCTGCCAACCCAAACAGCAGAAGTAAACACTGTGATCCCCTCAGCTGCATCAGTGTAGGGGATGTATATTGTTCATCTCCTTGAATGATAGAAAACATCTGCCACATCCAGCCAAGCAAACGCTGTGTATCAATACTCCACTGAAGCTTGGGAAAGAGCTCATAGAAATGCCGTACTCCAAATATTCCTGGGCTCGGTTATTCTCTGCCCTGCACAGAAGTGAAAACTAAAATCAAATCGAGATATAATTATTCCATTCTGGGTTTGCAGCCATCACTGGAAAGGCCCAGATCCAAAACTTGTATCCCCCTGAGAGCACTGGTGCTCCAACTGGTCCAGCAGTTTTTCCACCGAGTCTTCTTTGTTCTCCAGTTTCAGGTATCGTCTGCCGTTGCCCAGATCTAGCCGAGGCCAGCTTTGGTGAGTCTGCTCTGCAGAATCGGCAACCTGTCCAAGAACGTTTACACAAACCTGTGAGCTCGCCTCCATACGAGTGACTTCAAGCTGATTTGCCTGAATGTGCTCTCTCTCCATACACCTACCAGTTCGCTTTGTGTAAGGGTTAGTCCTGTAGCTCATACTGTGGCAGCGCCTTGGTTGAGCAGCTGGGACATCAACTTCATCCACCCCTAAGGTGGACATGGAGCCTGCAGATACCAGGCACACATTGGTCTTAACAAGTGGGCCAGTGTGTGAACTGCAGCTGGCTCTCTCTTCACATTTAGCACCCAGCTGTGCATTAAAGTCAGTCTGACTGGAATTGCATGAGCTGGAGAGGGAAGCTTTGGCGGAACACGGAGGCTTTGACTCCTGGTGGTGGAGGCCTTCCATCGGAAGAACAGCTTGCTGGTAGAAACCCTCCATGCTGTGCCCCTGGTCTACGGTGCTTCTGCTCTGGAGCAGGGGCTCAGAGGTGGCCAGCTGCTGCAGACAGAGAATGTTGAGATGGGCAGCTGGTAGACTGCTAACCCACTGGTAGTGTTTGGCCATCGAATTGGCTGCTGCTATTTCTTTAAGGTCAGCTGAAGGCACAGCCGCAGACACGGAGCAGATAACACTGCGCATCTGGGCCACCAGCATCTGAGTCTCTCTGTCCCTGTTTTCGTACAGGACAGTGTTGGCACATATGAGGATGAAGAGACCCACCCCCATGATGACTGGTCCCAACAGCTTCATCCTCTCACTGTGAATGAGACTGGCTGTGGACAGGAAGCCCTTGGGTCCCAGACTCCAGCCGGAAGTCTGTGATTCAGAGGCGCTTTCCCTATCTGCAGCTCCCAGGATGGACGACCTTGATATCTGATAGGGCCAGTATCCTGCCACAGCCAGAGCAGTGCCAACAACCACCACAACCACGCCAAGCACTAGGAACGCTCCAGGCATGGAGCGGATGCGAAGCTTGCCTCGGATCAACCTCTCCTTCTTCTTTCTACTTCGTAAGGTGAAGCGAGACTTTGGTTGGCAGGCAGGTGAGCTTGGCCTAACTGCTTGAGACTTCTTGGTCTTCATGGCACAGATTAGTCCAGAGCTCTTGGTCTGAGTCACAACCCGTCAGAGTGCTTTAGGAAGGAGGAAATGTAAAGAGTTAATGTCTCTGTTCATTCAAACACATGCAATGCCTGCAACTATGTTCACAGTACAGAGATGTCTGAACTTTTTCATGGTGGCTGAGGTGACAGTGAACACATTCATTGTGGCTGTCTGAGTGAAGCTCGGTCTGGATCTCCCTGGTGATACTGTTAAACTGCAGCAGACAGTGATACACACCACTAACCCACCTTTGTCACGCTCTAGAGCTGGGCGATATGAGATTTTTTCATATCACGATATGTTTTTTTCATTTCAGGCGATAACGATATCTATCACGATATAAGCCAAATAACTATATTTGTAAGATTTAAATGTGCCGTTGCTCACAAGTAAAATGTGAAATTATCAGCAGCTTGTTTTGATTTAAATATTTATTTCCCATAATAAGTTCAACAGGGTAGATGTACTTAAGGAACATGAGACTTTTTCAGATAAATAAAGGCAAATATTGCAAACTACACAAAAGGCAGCCGCTAAAGTGTTTAAGTTTCAAAACAGAACAAACGAAACAGACTAAACTGTCAATTCCACTTAGAAACAAAATATTAATTCTAAAAATAAATCTTAGTTTGTTTTACAGAAGAACAGACAAAACTGACTAACTTTTGTCAATATCAAATAAACTGAGAACTAAAAGGAAATTCTCGATCTCTCCTTGTTGTATAGCTGAGCTTTTTAAACAGGTTTAAAAGTTACTTTAGTCTGACTAAAGCCGAATGACGAATTAGCGCTTCCAGTCAGAGACTGAGGCTACGTCCACACGTACACGGGTATTTTTGAAAACACAGATTTTCCGTTTTGGTTTTAAAAATAATCCCGTCCACACATAAAGGCAGAAATGAAGGAAAACGCTGCTATGAACATGCCAAAGCAGCAGGTGGCGCTAGATTCCTAACCGTGCCGAAATGTTGGCCAATCAGAAGTCTAGAAGCCTCGGTGGAAAAAGTAAACAAAGCTGGGGCATAGAAGCAGAACCGAGTCGTATGTGTGGAGGGACAGTAACTGTGTGTATATGTAAGCATTTAAACACTGCAGAGAGTAGAATTAACAGTAACAGTATTGTAGAAGTTCATTTCACCGAAACAATAACGTGGCGCACAGTGTGACGCATGCACCAGTTTATTGTATTTCCAGACTTGCTTTTGGCACAATTTACAGTGCACGCTACTCTGTTTTTTGTCAGACTTGAAATAGCCGAAATACCTTCAAACTACGGAACTTCTATGGCTCTTCCGTTCGACAATCTCTCCGGCATTGGAACCATCATCTGTTTTCTCTTCGGTCACGCTCGGTTGATTTTTCTAGTCGGCACACTCATTTCCTCCATTACCTGCTGGCTGCTTCCCAAACAAACACACGTGCGGCTTGGCACTTGTGCTGTACGTAACAAGTCACGCGACGTGACGCTGCGGCTGTGATTGGTTCGGCTCTGCGCTACTTAATTTGGATCGGCCGACCTTTTTTTTTTTTTTTTTTTTTTAAAGAGGACAAGAGCGGCGAGGTCTATCGCGATAGCTTAATTTCTCTATCGAGTAAAAGTTATATCGCGATACATATCGTTATCGTTCTATCGCCCAGCTCTATCACGCTCTCAGTCCTCGGGCTACAAAGGCTAATGCCAAAATTAATGCTAATCTAAACCTTCATGTTATCACTGCACAAGAAAACCAGAGATGGCAGCCTGAGGACAGACACGGGGGCAAATGTTTGAAATGAATAATATTTGAAGAGGACTTCAAAAATATTTTGTAATGGGAGTATTTTTCAGTTTTAGTATTTACTTATTCATATGTTTAGACCTGCCAGAGCTCACTGTAGTTATTTATTACTGGCCACCTGACAGTGTGTTTTTCCCCAGAGTTAATCACCAAAACCTTCAAACGTCCACATCTGTGGAGAGCTTGTAAATTAAATGAGGTACAAACAAAAGTACAGAAGCACTCACATATTTGCTGTTCTTCCTAAGTTCCTGTACAGTAATGAACAAAGAAAAGTGAAATGGAAAAGCCAGTCGCAGTGACTGCAGCATGCACCAAAGAGCGTAAAATGTTCCCTTTGTCCTTCTGTGAATGCTTAAGAAGAGTGCCAAATACACAAAGTAATAATGCACTCAGCTCTAAATCTTAAAGACATATGAGGGTGCCTGCTCTTAATCAAGTATAAGAGTGGGTACCTTAACCCATCATTAAGTACGTTATTGCTACAGTTCTGAAACCACTGCACGTCTCGTGTTTGTACTGCAAATTCTTTTTACTTAAGCACTGACCTGCCTATTGTCTGTTGATACGTTTCCTTGGGTTTTTCAACTTTCTTGACCTCTTAAACACGTTAAATATGTTTTATTGTGAATAAAATATGGGTTCATCAGACAACATCCAGCTTTTTGTGGAAAGACTTGTATATAAAACATTTTTTACGTTTTACAGAAACAACATTAATGTCCGACATCAGTCTCACTGTTCTCATTGAACTTGTTTTATCAGGCAGCTGATTTTATCATAAAAGCTCAGATGAGGCATCTACGATAGACTGACTACCGCCTGCTGGGAAAATGTGAGGAAAGGGTGGATATCAGCAGGACCCAAAACCTTTCTGTTCACGAAGAAGAGCCTGTGTGTATTTAGTAATAAAGAGTACATGCATTAAACACACATTTCTGTGCCCAATGATACTGTCATGTTCAAGTGAACTTCCCAGTGATATTAAATTCTTTAACAACTGTATTATATATTAGATATTATATCAACAATCCCTACAATAGCGTCCTACATGAAAAAGCAATGAATTCATTCATGCAAACAATCAGGAAAGTATTTTATCAGTACAGGCGCCTTAATGTGAGATGTAAGCAGGCTGTCAGTGTTAAAGAATCTGACTATGGAAAAAAGTCATGTCACCATTTCATCCGAGGCCACAGACACAGGAAGTCGTGAAGAAGTTAATCATGAGGACGACATTCAGAAGGCAACACAAAAACATCCAGTGCCACGAGTTAGTGGCTGACGTCAGGCCGGGCCTTTGATTTCACACAGGGTAAATATTACACACGTCACTGGTAGATTTCTGTTTATAAGATCAAACATTAAAAGTTTGAACAGATCATTTTCTCTTAATGATCAACTGATGACATCACAGCTATCCCCTGGTCATGTGATAACCAAATGTCGTTAAATCTCCATGTATTAAATAAATGTGCTGACCAGTACACACACACACACACACACACACACACATCTGTATTCCCCTCTGCCGTGGGATTAACGCTGCAGTAAGAAAAATGAGAGAAGCAGCAGACTGCATTCAGCAGCTGTGGCACAAGTTTGTGTCGGTGAGGGTGTGATATGCTGCATGGTTGCACATGACGGTAAATGCACGCCTGATCCGGATGATGCGCTGAACTCCGATTACCCTGTGGTCATGTAATTACGCAGGAATGACACAGACAGGAGCGCAGCGTCTGCTGGAAAGGACTTTCTCTACAGTGTGGCTCTGGAAGCCCGCACTCAGTGTGTCATTGACCCAGTCATACGGTGCATCTGCAGTTTACAGTCGGCAGAGGAAGCTGGTCTGGATCAATTCAATTCCCGAGAAGCCACAAGTTGTGATACATGACGAAAATGAACAAATGCGAAAGCGTTCGCTGGTGCACACGGGTGGAACCGTGTCAGTCAAATGCAGCAGCTTGTTGAGCCCGTGGAGCCCAGACGGAGGGAAATGAAGCAGCTGCAAGAATGCTGTGGTGAAAATCAGCACAGCATTATCAACTGACTGGGATAAGGCGTCCCTCAACTACGGATAGCCATGCACTGTCGTGCCGTGCCGGACTATCTGCACTGACACTGAACAGACATGGAATGTGTCTGATGACCGAGCTGCTGCATTCCTCTCCGACAACACAGCAGCTCACGGCACCGTTACCGACCCACAGAATGAAAGAGTTCATGTCACCCAGCTGCTCCGACTGCACCACCACAGACACACAATCTCACACTCACACACTCCGACACTTCTGTGAACTTGCCTGGATTTCGGAGTTCCTGTTGCAGCTCGGTGGTAGTTTGAAGACACCCGACGTCCGCATGACTCCGAATAAGGTTAAGGGCTGAATCGAGCCAAGCCCTAAACCCGTTCCCACATATCCGCAGCAGGGACACCGCGCTGACTCCGTCAACTCCGCCGGACACAAGCCGAGCAGAGCCCAGCCCAGCCGCCTCCATGCACCAGCACCGCGGAGTGAGCAGGAAGCAGCCCTGCTGCGCGCGCGCACGCATGCACGCGGATTTGAAAATAAAGGTGCGCACGGGTGCTTCGTGTGACAGCAGCAGCGTCCCTCAACAAGTAGCGGAGGTGTGAGTCACAGGGAGCCGTTCGGGTGCACCTATAACGCTGCACTAACACTCTCCTCTCTGTGCTGTCCTGGACTCGTGGGCGCGCTCACAGAGGTGCTGGATACTTCAAAGGTTACCATCCAAAAATGAGATGTTACAGATTAAACACCTCAGCACCGAGTTAAGAGCTTCACCAGGTGATGGATTAGATTCTTGGATCAAATGATCTACAGATGAAAGCATAGTCCTGGGACTCTGTAACGCTTTGATAAACCTTTGTAGTCCGAGTCCACATTAGCAGAACATCAGAATGTGGACTAGCTTAAGACCATCAGCTCCACTGCTTGGTAATCCTGCATTTATGTGACAGCACAGTGAAGGGTTATTAGTTAATGCAAGAGGACAGATGGCTCTGAGTATACTTAAGGACTATCAAAGCACGTTTGTGTTTCATGTCTATGCACATAATAAACTTCCATCCATCCATCCATTCGCTTCCGCTTATCCTTTTTCAGGGTCGCGGGGGGCGCTGGAGCCTATCCCAGCTGTCATAGGGCGAGAGGCAGGGTACACCCTGGACAGGTCGCCAGT